TCTATAGAGTAGTGGTTAAGCATGATTTGTTGCATGAGACAGAGTGTTGGCTAGTCAAAGTGCACATGTTCAGAAATGAATGTAGCAGATGAATGTGTGACATACTATGAGAAATAAGATTAGGAGTGAGATTATACGGGACAAGGTTGTTGGAATGGCCTCCATGGAGGATAAGATGTGGGAAATTGAGACAGATGGTTTTGGTATATGAAAGAAGAGGAGCATAAATGCATCGGTGAAGAGGTGTGATAGGTTGGCTGTAGTAGGTTTTAGTAGAGGTAGAGGCAGGTCAAAGAAAGAATTAGGGGAGGTAATTAGTCAATACATTGCACATCTTCAACTTATTGAGGACATGACCTTAGATAAAAAGATTTGGAGGTCAAGGATAAGCTTAGAAGGGTAATACTTAGCCGAGCGTTCTAGTATAAGTTAGTATACTGGTAGGATGTTATTCTCCTTGTTTTCACCTTAACTTTTGCTTATTTGTTTCGCATACAGTTTCATTAGTGCTTTCAACTCCCAATCTTGGAAATTTCTCCTAACTTAAAGTCCCATTGGTTATTTTGCCAATATTGCTCTGTGTGCTCTATAGTGGAATCTGGATCTGATGCCAGTTGATAGAGAAGTGAAAATTCACTTTCCAGAGCCACTGACCCCAACCACTTGTCCATCCAAACTTTTACCTGTGCTTCATTCCTTGCGTTGAATTTTGAGTTTAGACTCATCCCACAATTTTGTAATATGTTTCCAAGGACCTGTGACATTGGGTAATCTGCTCTGCTTTGTGTACCTGTGTTTCAGCTCTCCGTATTTTCCTTTGATCACGGCTTTCCACAACCCTAGATTTTCCATGTTGTACTGCCAATGCCATTTCCTTGGCATGCTTTTGCAATGTAGTACCAGATCTGTCATACACTAAACCCTAAACTAAACCTTCACTACTCTTGGCCATCTGATCAGATGAAATTTGTGATTCTGGCCAGTGTTATCAAAAGCAAAAAACTCAAAAAAGCTCTAATGTATGTTGGGGCTTTAAGCACAAATAAAGCAAGAGCTTTAATGAAAAAGACGCAAATGGAGAAAAAAACACAAATATATATGTTTAGTCCAAGTATACAAGGTTAAATAACAAATATATGGATGATGAACTTGAACTTTTTTTACAATAAAGGGAAATATCAATAGTTTAGTGCAGTCTCTATCAGAAAACGCTCATTAGCAAGGAAAAATATGTCTTAGTGCCTTGATGACGGACTGAACCTCACATTAAGTGAGGTGAAGCTCTCAACAAGTTTTAAGCCTCACTTCTGGGTTTATGCATGCCTTTGACAATACTGATTCCATCAATTTCATTCCCCATTCTCATCTTAGCTGTTCTACTTCTTTTGCTTTGATTGGTATTGGTAAAAGAACATGAAGTATGTATGCTGCCCAACTCACTATTACTTAATTAATTGCCCTCAAAATAGTTCAAGATGTCGATCTTTTCTCAAATTGACAATAACCCTATTCCCTGTGACTTGCATCTTGCCACCTGGTGGGAGGCCCAGGTATGTTACTGGGAAGGATCCCAGATTGCAGCACAATATCTGAGATAGATCCTCCAGTTCAGGGACTACATTAACTGGGTATATGGTGCTTTTTTAACATGTTCGTAATTTGTCTTGATAAGGCCTCAAAGAGAATAAGTGTGAGATTCAAGCTGTAACCTCTCAGCTCTCCAATATATGAGTGTCTCATATACATAGAGAAGATGAGAAACTTTGACAGAGTTCCTAGCATCATTTCCAACCTTAAAGCTTCCAGCCAACGTAGTAGATTGGCTTTCTCAATCATTTTACTGAGTCCCTCCATAGCTAAAATAGATAGGAATAGGGAGAGGGAATCTCCTTGCCTGTGACCTACCTGAGGAGAGAAAAAAGCCTACACGTTCCACCATTTATTGAGATAGTATTTAACAGTAGTAAAAACTGAATTTGATCCACTTAAGCCATCCTTCTCCAAATCCCGTTTTCCTCAGAAAAGAGAATAGATATCACCAGTTCAGCTGATCATAGCTTACAATGTCCTGAAAAAGGACCAGGCTGTTCAGGTTTCAACTTCCATCCCAAGACCTCATTAGCTAACAAGGCCACGTCAGAAATCTACCTTGATTTGATAAATGCATGCTGATGCCCTGAAACCAGTTTCATTTTCACTGTAAAAAATTTTAAGACAATTTTATACACACTACCAATTAAATTGATTGGCCTTTAATCTCTCAACTCCACAACCCCCTCCCTCTGAGGAATTAGAGTTGTGAATGATGCATTGTATGATCTTACCATGTTTCTTGATTGATGAAAGTGCTGAAAAGCTTTCAGAGCATCATGTTTGATCACTACATATGCCTTTTGGTAGAATGCCATGGTGTATCCATCAGGGTCCAGAGCTTTATTGAAGCACTTTCTGTTGTAGAGGCAAATGCTTCAGATTCCCCGGTCTTTCCAGCCACACTTTCTCATCCTCTGTGATTGATGCCACCTCCTCTGGCTTTGTTATTCAATTCTCATTTAATAACCCTAACAAGTACTCCCTCCATCCCAATTTATGTGGTGAAAATGATTAAATGGATTTAGGTATCCAATCAAACTACTTGTGAACGATGAAGAATGGCAACTATTCTGGTTGTTTGCCTGACCTGATTTGGTGCAATAACTCAGGCTTATGCTTGAGCTAACCAAATTAGTCTATGGTTGGATGGGTCCAAAATTTTGCTTAGAGCTTGTCAGGGCCATTAAGGCAGTCTAAACAGAGTTTATTCCCTACTTATCTTTCTAAGTCAAACCGCACCAGAATGCTGTACCGTGATCTGGGGTTGGCTTTAGCCAACCAGTCCACCCTTTTTAAGGTACATTTTTGGGCTTTTTTCATGCTTATCCACAAATCTCTGTAGGGCCTATTATTGACAATGCACATGGAAATGTTCCTTGGGAAATTTTGCGACCAGATATTGCGTGAAAGTGATTGGAAGTTTCTAACTGTGTTGATTTTAATAGAGTTGTCGAGATGAGATTCATGAAAGGGTTTGGTAAATCTAGCTAATTTCCATCTCTTAGCTTATGTCAGGGTTTAGCGCGACAGATAAGTGGTATTTGACACCTCTAATATAGAGAAAGGATTAAAGAAGTCTTATGTAAAATTAAAGAGGACCATGTATAGGGCCCATAATATGTTTTCTGGTGTCCACCAAGGTTTGACACCATGCAGTAATATGCATTGGGACACTTCCAGTTCTGTTAACCCCCAAAAATTTTAAAAATCAATGGGTCTTCTACAAGACCGAACACTTCAATTGATGTTAATGTTGCTATAAAAACCACCTATGTGACGAGTCACAAGAGTATACTCTGGCTGCTTCTCCTCCCTACACCCTCCTTTACTTTTTTTAAATCCGTGCCATGTTCTTCAGTGCCTTTGCTGCCCTTTCCCTGCTATAGTTTTTCCTTGTCTCATGAATAGAAGAAGGTTCCTTTTTGCTAAGTTGCACCACATATGCATGTTAGAACTCGATACATCATATTATATCCTTGGCAGTTGAAGTTAGAGTTATCAATCTCAGTTTCAAGTGGACTGTGCTGCAATTTCGCGCTCAAGAATCACAGATCTGCTTTAGTTCTTTCAGTGCTTCACCGTGTGCACAAATTTACAACACATGTCCCTGTTAAATAGTAGATTTGTCGATTTTGGATTAAAACAAGAATAGACAGCAAAAGAGCACCAGAAAACATCGGGAATGAGAAACAAGAAAAAAGAAAAGGGTCAACTAGGATATTATGTTGATTCAGATACACAGTGTATCATACAGTTATTATTTGTGCAACACATTTAAATGATTTTGGTGGAAATAATTTGTCTTTCTTCTTTCTTGGCCTTCTTGTTTGCTTTACTTTTCATAGACATGGTAAGATGTAGATGAGGTTGTAGGAGGAGCATTCCAGTTTTTCTCTTTGACCTTGTAACACACTAATTCAAGCTCCCCCCCAAAATCCTTCAGTTTTATCGTACTTCTTTCAGTTAAAGTTATGTGTTAATAGATAAATACTCGTATACAGCAGACATTGTTTCGAAAAACATTTTTCTAAAATTTCAAGTTTGGCCTTCTCTTTTTGATTTGTAGGTGATGGCATTTGACGAAACAACCTAATCTCTGCTTCAAGAAGTTGCAGTCGCGGAGGGGTGAAACCAGCAGTAGTAAGGGATTATAAAACCAGAACAGATAAATTTAAAGTCTGTGTGAATACCATTTTGCCAAATTCATATATGTTATCATGTACAGTAAAATATAAAATAAGTACTAATTGTTGAAACATATCCCTGATTAATGCTTGAGTTTCCATGTTATATGGTTTTCACTTTAATGTTGCACCCCCAGTTTGGTGTATTTTCCAAATACAATTTCTGCTGTTGTTTACAGGTACATAGTTAACAGATTACTCTCTTGTTATAATAACATTGGTTTGGTGAAAGGTTTTTTACATGGATAACCTACATTTCTTGTTGAAAATAAAAATCTACTAGAGCAAAGTTCAGAAATATTGTTCTCCATTACAAGCCTCTCTACCTTAACGAGGTATGAATAAGGTCGAGATAAGATCTGTATACACCCTATTCTCACCGAACTCACATTGTTTTTCGTTACAACCTCTCTACCTTAACGAGGTATGAATAAGGTCTAGATGATGTCTGCATATACTCCATCCTCACCAAACTTACATCTCTCTACCTTAGCTCGAGGTATGGATAAGATCTATATATATCTCATTCTATCATCAAACTTTTGCATATTGGATCAGTGTTGTCAGTAGACTTCAATTAACTTGAAATCAAGGACTAAATATTTATTGGAAAACAACAACAATAAATCAACATTAATCCATATTTCAAATTATTCTTAATATATATATACCTTTGGAAAAATATTTTTCACTAACCATCTATCAAATATTGAAAACATATTCTAGAAAAAATATTTTCAATCATAGCAAACACAAATTAAGGTGACATTTCTAATAGTTCATACAAACTATTAAGACTATTTAATTTGTTAGCTCATCATCTGCTCCATATTTAGTAAAAGAAGTAGACAAAGGTTAATTAGTTACAGATTTGATTACAACTAATTAATTGGTACAACAAATTATAGACATACAATTGTGATTTTATATGTATATAAATTAAGTTTTCATCCTTTGTTGTGGACATGGTGGAACATCCATGGAGGCATCAAGCTATTGTAACCATCGCGATTTTGACTTTGATCCGTTGCTTGAGAAGGACCGCTGATAATTTATTATCTCAAAATAATAAGCGAAGTACAAGGTAAGACTATATACGATATTAAATTAATCGTCAATGTACCATGTTATCCGTTATATATGTGTGTCATGTGTAAATAAGGTCTTTTAAACAAAACCTAAAAATATATCCACATATATTTTCAGAGGTACCGTACACATGACCTCAATATTGTTTATAGAGATAATGCACAAATACCCCCTCAATCTATGTCCGAAATGTCGGAGACACACTTATACTATGCTAAGGTCCTATTACCCACCTGAACTTATTTTATTAATAATTTTCTACCCTTTTCGTCCTTCGTGCCACTATCTTGTGGGCCCAACGCTCGTTGACTTTTTTATGTCAAGTTAGTGCCATGTAGGACGAGTGGGGTAGAAAATTACTTATAAAATAAGTTCAGGGGGTAATAGGACCTTTGTATAGTATAAGTGTGTCTTTGGGATTTCGAGCATAGGTTGAGGGGGTACTTGTGCATTTTCCCTTTTTTATATTAAGATTAAAGATTTAAAAATGAAGTTTCGAAGCTTGAAGACATGTTAAATCAAGAAGTTTATATTCAAACACACGTTTCACATTCGTATATAAATTTATTTTTTAAAAAATAATAAATATAGATTTAATTAAAATTCTCGAATATAGAAAAAGAGTAATACCCAATTGTTTGGTTAGTGACTGTGGGAGATTGTAGCAAGAAAGTCATAGTAGAGCTTTGGCCTGGATTTGTTTGCACAATTTGCTTCTTCTCATTTTCTTTAAGCTGTTTAATACAATGTTCCGCGCTTTAATATAAATATTGAATATCAAACAAAACGAAGGGAAAAAAACTCATAATATAATATATATTACCTTGTTAGAAATTAAGTTGTTTCGCTGTTGCAGTTCTTTTTCCTGCAATTGATGTGACAAAATTAACTATTATGCCATAACATTAATTATAATTTAAATTTTAATAAAAAATATATACTTTAATTTATAAAAATAAATTACATCACATATCTCATATCTTCACATTATATCAGCATAATTAATTACTTTTTTGCACCTGTACTCATACAATATTGTACATTTACCATACACAATGACGTGTATAAATAGTATTTATACACATTGTTGTCATTTGTATGCTTTGAAAAATTTTTTGTTTCCCACCTCGCCGAAAAGGTAAATCATTTTCTAACTAAAGCGATTCTATATATCAGGAAATTTAAATATATTCGAACGTTTTAATTAAAAGTGAAGATATATTTATCATTCAACTGTCATCATTAATCGCTAAAAAAACCACTCGTAGATCACATAATTAATTGTGACAAGAAAGAAATATTAAATAAAGTGCAGTTACTTTAATAAAGTAAAAAATATTTTTGGACTTGACATAATTAATACAAGTAAATTACAATAACTATACGTGAATATTAATGAGTTTGTTTTTATAAGTTAAAAGAAATAATTTTTACCTTTTTCTGCAGCTGGGAAATGGACTCGTGCATCAGTTGGTTCTGCAAATTCCAGTGACAGGTCATGTTGAGCACTTTTTTTTTATTTTTTAGGTTAAAACAACATTATATTAATATATAATTAACTTCTAGTATTAGTTAGTCGAACGTATTTTATTGAAAAATTATACCTTAAATACAGATCAAAACTTAATTTTTTTATTTATAAATAATTTCTAGCTTCTCCAATTAATTAATAATTTATTGAAAGTAAAAAATAAATAAAATGTCATTTTATTCAATAAAATGAAAAGTACCGTTGATATTACTTATTTTTTCTTATATATTATTAATGGTTGAGAATAATACTAACCTTCTTAGATCGCACTCGCTTTAGAGCTGTATCGAGCTGTTTCTCTAAACCCCGAAATTCACGCAGATTAAAGGCGTCCAGATCTTCTCCCATAAAATGCCTGCATTCATATTTGGATTTCGATTACGAATATACATCAAAGAAATATACAAGGTTAGTATGAATAGTTTTTATATATTCGCGTTTTTATTTATATGTTATAGCAAGTAACATATCTGATTTTTAAGATTTCATTTCCATATTCTAGGAAGGTGAAGTTATTTATATTACCAGTGTACAAAACTTAACAACTTAATTTTTTTTTTGCACAAAAATTCCAACTAGAAATTCCCCTCCGTTTTAAATTGCTCCCTACGTTGAATTTTTTAAATTTCGAGATTTAAATAGGTTATAACTTTTTCATTTATTTTTTAAATATTTTGAATAATTAATTATTACAACTTATAGTGCTTTTTTACATAGTTTATAAATATATATAACTTTCATTTCAAAAGATTTTGAAGATTTTATGTGCAAATGAATTTCCAGTCAAACTTAATTTGTTTGATACGAGTAACAAAAAATGTCACATAAATTGAAACAAAAGTAATTGTTTGACCGTCGATATAGAGTTAATATGCTGCAACATCTCTAAAACTTGTTTTCTTAAACATGAGATAACATATGTATTTTTGCCGATAAAATCTTTTCATAGAAAAAATAGAAAAATGTGTCATTTTTCTTTTAACATACTTATAAGAAAATAGTGTCAAATTAAACAAAGTAATTACTCGCCACATGAAGTGGAGTAGGTACCTTATATTTCTTTGCAGAAGTTCAACTCTTGCCATGAGCTTTGGGTACTCAAGAGTCCAATTTTCCTACAACAATCCATGAAATCATACAACAAGATTTCAAGTATACTACTATACATTATTTCGATTCTATCAAAAATGTTACAAGTTTTTTTTCAAAAGTAATATATCTTTAAAGTATCTGACGCATAATCGAGTCTTGCAACCACTTATTAATAGTGGAGATAGGAGATCAAGTTAACGAATACCTCAAGGGTTATCTATAACGAGGCAATCAATATTATTAGAGAGTCCAAACAATATAAAATTATTTGTAGGTTCTCTTTTATCCTAAATCGTGCTTAAACATCTCACATAATTGAGACATTAAAATTAATTAACAAATCTCTCTATCAATTGATTAGACTCTTTGGTAATTAAAGAAATAAAAAGTACATTATAGCAAAGGAGAAAAAAGGAATTGTGAAAGATAATAAGTAGATGATAATAATCAAAATTCTTCACAATTTAATTGGATAGCTTTCTTCATCTTCTATTCAAAGCACTCAATAATTATTTACTCAAAAAATCATGTTTCATGGTGATTCTAATTCTTAAAAAAATGATTTAAAAATGATAATAACTATTGAGAGAGAATATGAGAAATCAATTATATACAACAAATTGAAGATGGAGAACGGAGTAAAAAAACCATTGTAACCAAGATATGAGAAGAGTAAAATTTATTAGGATCAATTAAAAAAAAAAGAAATAAATAATCTCTATTAAAAATTAAAAAGATCTAAATGAAAGATAATAACTAAATAGTACCTTATAAGTTGTATTCAAGTTCATCTCCTCGTATGAGTAATTTTCATATCTTTCCAATATATTTTCCATGCTATATATAAAAATAGAAAAAAAAATTAATTAAAAAATTTACTACTAATTAATAAAATTCCTTTAATAATAATTATGAACCTTGATTGAGTAGAGTACTCAAATAGTTTTCCATTTGAAGAGAAAACAATTAATGCCACCTCAGCATCACATAGCACAGAGATCTCGTTGGTTTTCTTCAACAAACCGGATCGTCTCTTTGAGAATGTAACTTGTCTGCTTATTTTATTTTCGATACGCTTCATCTCCACCCTACCCCGCCCCATCTTTCAAAGAGACGGATTTAGAGCGAGTTCTAATCTAATAAAAAATTATTCAATAACACCATACTTGAAATTAATAACGTTTACAATTACTTTTTTTTGAAACGTAGGGGCATGTGAAATTAAAATTAAAGCGTAAATGAAAATTCACAATGTCTAAATTCGGAACTAACAGATGCTATGCAGGAGAGCAACAAAAGAAGAAACCCTAATTGCTAAATGGAAAAAAGTGCAAGGAAAAATCAAGTTTCTATATGTGTCTTTTAAGTCAATTATTCATGGTGTCAACTGTCAATATATACGGGGATAATGCACAAATACCTCTCAACTTATGCCCGAAATCTCAAAGACACACTTATACTATACTAAGGTCCTATTATTATTTTTGTTAATAATTTTTTATCCCTTTTCTGCTTACGTGGCACTAAATTGTGGGACCAACGTTGATTGGCTTTTTTTTCCAAGCTAGTGTCACGTAGGCCGAAAAGGGGCAGAAAATTATTAATAAAAATAAGTTTAGGGGTAATAGGACTTTAGTATAATATAAATATGTCTCTGGGATTTCGGGCATAAGTTGAGGGATACTTGTGCACTATATGCGGTATTTTTATTTAGGGGTGGTTTGGTTTGAAGAAAGTTATGATGCTATGATTAGTTATTTTTTAGTGAATGTTTGATTTGTTGCATTAAAAATAATATGTATGGCATAATTTTTAAGAATAATTTATTTCTTCGATTTTCTTCGTAAATGTGAAAGTGATAATATAAAAATAGCTTAAGAGGAAAATTTTGTTTAACTATTTTTCCAGTTATCTCATCATTAATTCATTATTACTCGACTCAAGACAATAATAACTCAAAATTATAGGGTCCTTTGGTGCGAGGGATCAAAAATAACGATAATGTGATAAAAAAAAAAATCTTGTTTAGTTGTCATGTTTAGAATAACTTATCCACCATTTACATTATAGTGATGAGATATGTTATTCGTAAATAACTACCTTCAAAATAACCTATCCTGTAATAACTTATTCCCAACGATAGTAATAAAAATTTATGTTACGATTATTTTTCTTTATCCATCACTGGACTAAACGTGTTGGAAGAACTTTAATTTAGAGTTGGTGGGCTAACTGTCGTTATTGGGAAACCTGTATGCATATTGAAAAAGTAAAAAAAAGACAAAGAGTGTTGTTTGTAGGTACAATTGGTGTCGAATAGTAATTGGAGAGTACTGCTGTGAAGTGACTCTAGTTGTTTAACTGTTTCTTCACTATGAACCACACGATGACAAACGTAGTACAATCGAAGCCAAAAATAGATTCAAGGTTATTACAAAACTTAAATAACAAAACCACAAACACTGCAATTATACTACCTAGTATATTAGTACTAGCAGTGAGACTGTTTCGTTTTTGATCAAAAATTTCGCGCTCGAGTTTAATATAGGTTGTATCAATGGTGAAGCTATCTCACCCTTGATCAGAAATTTCGAGTTTTGAATATAAAAAAAAATTATATTAAGAGCACCACTCAGAATGAATTTTGCAGTGTACGATTCAAATTTAATTGGGGGCTCTAATACGAAATTCCGCATTGGGTGGAAAAGGAAAAAGAAAAAGCTATGATCAATCTACTCTCCACTGTTGCAGTTTACCCTGCTATGTTGTACTAAATTGTATTCTTGCATGAATCTCAAAGGATAATATTTGATTTTCTTTTAATTATAAGTATTTAAAATTATATCCAAAAAAAAATATAGCTTATTTGTGATTCCGAGATCTGTGAGTAGAAAATCCTAAAAACTATTTCGAGCCAATTTTTGAGAACTATGAAAATATTTAAAGTAAAAAATTATACCATTTGATGAATATAACTAAAATAGATATTTAAAAGATTAATTATCAACGTTTAATTCAAAAATTGATGACCAAGCACTAGATTGGTCATATAGTTTTGAGATTATAACTTCTTAATTATTGGGTATTGTTAAACTTTCAACTAAACACAATATTCCTTTTGTTTCAATTTATAAGAAGTAGCTCGTATAATTTGATAAAAAAAAATTAAAAATATAGAAAGACATATTCAAAACATTTTAAAAAAAAGAGTACTTTTGTGAATGGAGCTCAACCATTCATCATAACATAATCTTAAAATGTACTATTCTATTTTTTAAAAAAAAACTTATTTCTTAAACTAAAAATAGCTTTTATTTAAAATTATCTGTTTTAACAAAATTAAGAGATAAATATTAATTCTTTTAATATTACCATATCATTAAATAAATTGACAAATACTCCTTCTATTCACTTTTATTTTTTGTGATATAGGTAAACTATGAAAAAAAAACTGATATGCTAAATTAGGCTACTAAAAGTGAACGAAGAGAGTAACAATATTCAAATTTATATTTTAAAAATATAATTAATGGGGGTGATAAATTATTAACACAAACCCTAATAAATATATCATCGACTTCAATTTATGTTATGCCTTTCGAATTTTTAAGAGTCAAATTTTTTTTTATTTAATCAAAATATTCTTACATCCCTTTAAAATTATTAATCATTATAATTTTTAAATACTTTTTACTAGTTTCTAAATACGTAAATCATATTTCAAAAACTAAAAGAGATTCTATCTAGGAGCTAATAATAATAATAATAATAATAATAATAATAATAATAATAACCCCATAAAAGTGGTCCATGTTGAGTACAAGAAACAAGTTCTCTCCCTATCTTTATACTATAAAAACAAAATATATTTAGCATCATATATATAGGATAGGACCATGATATGCAAGAGGCATGTTATACTAAAATACACAAATAGTACATTAATATATGGTTTCAAATTCCTTAAAATATTCCACCTACCAGGCTTTAAATAATTGGGGACCATGTAACTCACACAATTTAAAGTAAGTTAAAAGTGATGGTAAAATAATAAGCTATAAGAAAAAGCACAACACATTAATTACTATTTTAATATATGCATTTTTGTTTTATTAATGCTCACATTTCTTTTCTTCCAACTTATAACTTGCTCTTTATCACTGAGCTAAGGGCTCTAATCATGTCAAGTGTGTGAAAACATATATGTATATTAATAATTTCAGTAATTTGATTTATATATATAAATGATGTTATATTTCGATAAAAAGTGTTCACCTGTACACCCATCATTGGCCGTAGCTTCGCCCCCGCTTCAACAACTAAAAGCAGATAATTTTTGGTTGACATTTTTGTTTAATGCGATGGCAATTTTGCTTTATTATAAACGACTATATTGATCTACTTAGGGTTAACATGGTAGCCATCTCTTTGTTGACATGCTTGCTAATATTGGAGGGCAGTATTAACTTGTAAACTCAATAAGTATTTCTCACCTTTTTTCATCCTAAAAACAATGTTTAGTTTTCATAGGTAAACTTGTTATGTAGATACTTTTAGAAAAAAGTATCATAATCTTAAAGAAGTAAAAAAGAATAAAGGTTAACGATTTTAGAGATAAAATAGGTATTTTCTTTTGGAAAATCAATTGACATATGTTTTTATGGCTATTCTAATTTTAGTAACCAAATTATGCTTCTTTCTGGCCTCTGCCTAGTGGCATCATCCTGTTAGTAAGACACATAAACATTAGCTATCAATTATTTTCTGAATATGATTTTTATAAAATTAATTTTAAAGCATTGTTTGATAAAGGGATGAAATATATGTGTATATATATATATACATATGGAAACTTCTTTAGATTCTCTCAGCTATTTGTCACATTTATTATAGTTTCTCTAGCTCATATTCTTAAGAAAAGAACAACATCTATATATATACAACTATCTATATTAGGAGCAACTATAAGAATTATATGGAGTATATTAAAAAGGGAAGAATAATCCAGGTTAATCATGAAACTCTTGTACATATTGGGTGATTGAGATGTATGCCACATTGATGATGAATCACTCATGTCTTTTATAGATATATAACTAGTAAAATCATTCACACTTCGCGCGAAAATATTATATCACAAAATATATAAAATAATACATGATAATTATTAGTTATTAAAACTAAAATATTATATTATCGTCATAAAAAATTATAATATAAAGGAAAATAAAAATTACTACATTTTATCATTTATCCTTAATAACATAAGCATAAAGTAATGATTTGTAAAAATACATATTAGGATTTGTAACATAAACATGGTGTCGCTGAATCACTCAATGTGAGTAAAGTACAGTACAAATATTTAATTATAAAGAAGGGGAAGAAAAAGTTCAGAAATTTCGTTATTTCAAAATAAGAGAAAACCCTTCTATTTATAGACAACAAATGGTAGTGTAAACAAATATTTATTGTGTCTTATCGGACAGGTTACAACTAGTTGAAAAAGTTGCAACCCTTCAGAATTTCACAACCTTTTATAAAAGACACAATTTTTCACTAAAGTTGCAATTCATTTGATAGTTAACTGTCAAAAATTTAAATGATATTCATTTGATATTTTAAGCATATTGAGAATTCTAAAGCACTCTTAGAAGTGTAGTTTTCAACTTTGACACTTTATTTTGGATGAAATAATGTAGCACAATATAAGGGTTGATAGTCATTTAATAATCTTGGGAAATGCACCATTAGCAAATATAAAATGCAAAACAAAAGTAGAAAACTTACATTATGACTCATTGCATTTTACAAGAACATAATAAAACATGAATAATACATCCACTGATATTATCAACATATCAAGTCGAAATATATTTCTAAACCTAGACCACAACAATTATAAAACATGACAAAGGATACATATGACAAATATTAAACTCAAAAGAAATCTCTTCAACACTACAAAGTACACCACCAGCTTATACCATTACGCTCACGATAAGACAATTCAAACTATATAGTTTGATGTCTATTATTTAATTATAACATGTGATCTAATTACTAGTCGCTTTTAATCATAAAATTTGATAGCTTCATTTTGAAGAGGCATTAGCGGAATCTTTATTGGGGGGTTAAGCATATCCCAAGCTTCAATCCATGTAACCATCGCATCTGCAAGCTTAACAAAATAAGGGTCAACTTTCCCGAGTTTTTCTTTGACGTGTTTCGACAGTTCCACGTAGCATTTTTGGACAGTAGTACAATCTTTGGAGAAAATATGAGATTGGAAGAAAGGAATAATTTCTTCTTGCCAGAAAATACCAAGGTACTCTTTCTTCAAATTCACAAAGGGATTGCTAGCCTTGCTGTGATATATGTAGGGTAATCCAGTCTTGATTCCCAATCCCAAGTGATCACAAATTACCTAAAAATGAAATTGCGTAGAATTTAGCTTTAGTGTTATATGAAAGTGAAATTAGTAACCTAGAAAATAAGCCCACAATGAAAATAATCTTGATTTTTATATCAATATAATGACATCTACATTAACAGTGGCAGA